ATTATTTTTACCCAAACCAGTTAGGGTAAACAATGTTATCCCTAACAGTCTGCCACATCTATTTGTCTCCACCCCCTGCCTTTTATCCCCAGAGCTAGGGTGGGGCCTCGCTAGCAGCAGAGGCTCTACTGGCCCTTGGATTCGATTGGATTGGATTGGATTGGATTAGATTAACAGAGTTGGAAGGGACCTTGTAGGTCATCTAGTCCAACCCCCCGCCCAAGCAGGAGACCCTACACCATTTCTGACAAATAGCAGTCCAATCTCTTCTTGAAAGTCTCAAGTGATTAAGCTCCCACAACGTCCGAAGGCAAGCTGTTCCATTTGTTGATTGTTCTCACTGTCAGTTCCATAGATTTCCACTGCTCTCGTCTCCTCTGCCTTCTGTGCATCCATGCGTTAAGCACTGGGCCCAGCTGTTACTCTTCTTCATCAGCCACCTCCAGACCTGGGGGCTGTTGACTATCTGAGCGCTGACGGACAGCCCAGGCTCCACCTCTCCCTCTCCCTCTCTCTCTTTAAGAGCTCCATTCCCTCTTACCCCTCGGAGCTCTTAGGTTGCCTTGATGCTGACCCTGACTCCCACGCCGCCGCCGCTGCTTCCTCTGATTCAGCTGCTGGAGGGGCCGGCGGCTGACAGGCCACAACAAACATGAAGATGTTCGGATCAAGAAAAAAACGGGGAAGAAGGGTTCCCCACAAACCGGGTTTAGAGCAGCACCAGTCCTGCTGTTTTGTCAAGTTCAGCTGAGAAACCTCTGTCCCACCCTTCTTCCCTCCCAGGTGGTCCCCGTCAAAGGGCAAGAGAATGGCCAAGGGGAGGAGGAGGAAGAGGAGAAGGTCCACGAGGAAGAACAGCCGGAGTCGGCACCCGTTATCTCTGTAGAAACTGTGGTTCTGCCTCCCCTGGTAGAGCACGAAGTCAAAAAAGGTACCTGGGGAGGACGGATGACAACCATCAGAAGACTGGGAGCTATTGACCCTGACAGGTAAGACTCACCTGTGTGAGTTTCTGTCTCTGCCCCACAGTCACACTGAGCGACACGCTCACCCGGCGGTCCATCAGCCAGCAGTGTTCCAGGGTCTCCATCACCATCGACGATCCCGTCCGCACGGCCCAGGTGCCCTCTCCACCACAGGGCAAGGTCAGCTGTATCGTTCACATCTGCAACCTGGTGAGTGTTTTTGGGACGGTGTAACTATTTCAGAGGTTTTTGGGGGGACATTGGGAGCCTTTCTTAACGCCCAGATGTTTGTGTGGATAGGTGAGGCCCTTCACCCTGGGGCAGCTGAAGGAGCTGCTGGGCCGGACAGGCACCCTGGTGGAGGAGGCTTTTTGGATCGACAAGATCAAATCGCACTGCTTCGTCACAGTGAGTCTTTGGGGTTTCCACCTCCTCCAGAAATTCTCCTTTCCAGAAAAATCGGAATTTTGCATCGATCCAGCTCTGCTCAGGTGCTTTTGAAGGTGAAAGCTATGCTATACTGAGGATCCCAGATTGTCTGGGTTTGTTTGTGACGCTGCTCGATGCCAAATGCTATCCAGGTTTTAAAGGGAATTTAGAGAGTGTTTTAAAACAAGTTTTGCTTTGGGGGGAATTTTAACTGGAATGTCTACAGGGATTCTCTATCATCCAGGTAAGGGTTGTCCCAAAGATGCTTTTTTTTCAAAAGGCAGCTTGAGTTTTCCTGGGTTTTTTCCCCCCTTGAAAATATTTCGCTTCTCATCCAGGAAGCTTCTTTAGTTCAGTTTAAGAGGAATACTTCAGGATTTAGGAAGCAGGGGGAAGAAATGGCTGGAAACACATCTCTCTCCCCCACTCTTTCTGTCTCCTCCCTTTCTCTTTTTCTCCCCTTTCTCTTTTTCTCCCCTTTGTCTTTTTCTCCCCTCTTTCTCTTTCCCCTCTTTCTCATTCTCCTCTCTTCTTTTTCTGCCCCCCTCTTTCTCCTCTCTCTCGCCCTGTTTTTCTCTCCCCCCCCCCCCCCCCCCCCCCCCCCCCCCCTCTCTCCCCTTTCTTTCTCCTCTTTTTTTCTCCTGTCACTTTTTCTCTTTCTCGTCTCTCTCTCTCTCTGTTTTTCTCTCCTTTCTCTGCCTCTCTCTTCCGCCAATATTGTCTTTCAGTATTCAACAGTGGAAGAAGCTGTCGTGACGCGAAACACCCTTCATGGGGTCAAGTGGCCACAGTCTAACCCCAAGTTTTTATCTGCTGATTTTGTGGAGCAGGATGAGGTACGGAGCCCAACAGGGAAGAAAGATGTGGGACAGGTGGGGAGGGGGATCACCCAGAGTTCATTGCAAGAAAGTGAAACAGGAATACATGCTCCAAAAATGATGGGGTTTTTTTTTTCCAGAAGACAGTTCTCTCTGGCTGTTAGCCATACAGGTAGTCCTCGGCTTACATTTAGTGACCCTTCAAAGTTACAATGGCACTGAAGAAAAGCAACTTATGACCATTTTTTCACACTTAACAACTGTTGCAGCAACCCCATGGTCATGTGATTTACATTCGGGGGCTTGGCAAATGACTCATGTTTATGATGGTTGCAGTGTCCTGGTGGTCACGTGATCCCCTTTTGAGACCTTCCGACAAGCAAAGTCAAGGCGGGGGGAACTGGATTCAGTTACTGGTTATAAATCAAGGACTACCTGTAAAATTGACACCACAAGATAATGTCTCTAGCTTTCTCGCAAGTATCCTTTAATTTTGTATTCCAGAGAGCTTCCACCTGCTCACCTGAGGCTTTTCCTTTCTCTTCCTCAGCTGGATTTCCATCGTGGTCTTCTGGCTGACCGTCCTGCCGAGGCCAAGGCGGATGAAGCGCCCACCTTCCCCGGGGTGGGCCCAACCACGCGTGGGGAACGGGAGCTGTCCCGGCGCTTGGAGGCACGGGAGCGGGAGGCGGCCGTGCGGGAGCAGTGGGCCGAACGAGAGCGAGAGATGGAGCGCCGGGAGAGGACCCTGGCAGAACGGGAGTGGGATCGGGACAAGGTGCGCGAGGGGCCCCGTTCACGCTCCCGGTCCCGAGAGAAACGCCGCAAAGAGCGGCCCAAATCGAAGGAGAAGAAAGCAGAGAAGAAAGGTAACGAGAGAGAGTTTGGTCTACTGGTTAAGGCACCAGCGTAGAAACTGGGCAACCATGAGTTCTAATCTCACCTTAGCCATGAATGCTGATTGGGTAATCTTGGGCCAATCACCAGGAGACAGTGAGTTCTAGTCCCACCTTAGGCACAAAAGCCAGCTGGGGGACTTTGATCCAATCTCCAGGAGACTGGGAGTTCTAATCCCACCTTAGACATGAAAGCCAGTTGGGTGACTTTGATCCAATCACCAGGAGACTTGAGAATTGTAGTCCCACCTTAGGCATAACTCATCTGAGTGACTTTGGTCCGATCACAAGGAGAGTGGGAGTTCTAGTCCCGCCTTAGGCATGAAAGCTGGCAGGATGTCTTTGGGCCAGTTCCTCCCTCTCAGCCCAACCCATGTCACAGGGTTGTTGGGGAAAACAGGAAGAGGAAGCAGTGTTAAATATATTTGCCACCTGGAGTTGTTTGTACATATAGTAAAAGCAGAATCTAAGGCCAGGCCTCCTCCTCCAGTCTTTTTTTTTTTCTTTCTTTCTTTCTTTTTTTTTTTGCAAAAACTCAGAATAACAACCAACTTTCTTATCTTCCTCCCCAATAGAAAAAGCCCAGGAAGAACCTCCAGCTAAACTTCTCGATGATCTGTTCTGCAAAACCAAGTCAGCCCCTTGCATTTATTGGTTACCCCTCACGGACATCCAGGTGAGATGGGACGGGCACCGGCCAGGGTGACATGGTTGTCTCAAGATGTGGTTTCTTGGTTTCTTCAGCCCTGAGGATGAGAAGGTGTTTTCAAGACACAGTCCTCGACTTAAGGCCACCATTGAGCTTTTGTTGCTAAGTGAGACGGTGGTTAACTGAATTCTTCCCAATATTCCGACCTGTCTTGCTGCCGTGGTTAAGTGAGTCACTGTATCAGTTCAGTTAGGAACCCGGTTAAGTGAATCGAGCTTCCTGATCAGCAGGTCACAAAAGGGGATCGCACGACCCCCGACACCGCGAACGTCATAAATACAAGTTTGTTGCCAAACATCTGAATTTTGATCCCATGTGGGGATGCTGTAATGGTTGTAAGTGTGAAAACCAGTTGTCACTTTTTTTCAGTGCTGTCATAACTTCCAACGGTCACTGAGTGAACTGATATGTTGAGAACCGCCTGTACTTCTCGTCATAGGCATTTTGAGAGATGAGAAATGTGATTGTCGATGGTTATAAAAATGCAGCAGGCATCTTGGAGCACATATTCCAACAAAAGACACTTTAGAAGCTTTTTTGCAAGCTGCAGTTTAATAAAATGACAAGCTGCAATTTTAATAAAAACGTTCCCAGATTCTTCCTGATTTTCACTCACTAGGGAAAGCAGATTTGATGACTGTGCATTTTTTTGCCTGATCCAGAAACTTCGGGTGGAAGATAATTCCGATATTTGGAGAAATATTTCATGTACAAGTAGTCCAGTAGTTTCAGTTACAATGGCACTGAAAAATGTGACGACCATTTTTCACACACAGCGACCATTGCAGCATCCCCATGGTACCAGAGGAAAATGCATGCAATTTAAAAACTGTTAAGCGCAATTTTTTTGAATCAGCAAATAAGCCAGGTAGGTGGTTGTCCCATAAATTAAAGATAGAGAAAGAAAAAAGACTAATCCAGCCACTTAAGGATGAGGAAGGGAAAGTATGCCATCAGATGGAGGAGAAAAAGAAAATTGTGCAAAGATATTTTGGCGAGCTTTATAAGCAAGAAGAAGTTACGGAAGAAAATATTAGATATTATTTGGAGGGAAATGGTCTGAGCCCAATCTCTGAAGAAAAAAGAGAAATACCCAATAAAGAAATAACATTGGTAGAGCTACAAAGGCAATACAAAAACAATAAAACTCCAGGTCCGGATGGTTTACCTGGCGAATTATATAAAAACGAGCATGAAATATTTGAACCAATACTACTAGAACTATATAACGAGGCATTAATGGAAGCTAGACTCCCGAGGTCCTGGTCCGAGGCATACATCTCATTAATCTCCAAAGATGGCACCGATCAACAACTTGTTGCCAATCTCGTTGCTAAATACAGATTATAAGATATTCATGACAACATTGGCAGAAAGAATGAAACCGATTTGGAGTGAAATTATACATACAGACCAGAATGGTTTCCTGCCAAATAGACAAATCAAAAATAATATTAGAATAGTACTAAATTTGATTTAATATTACGAAGCACACCCAGAAAAACAGGCAGCTTTAATTTTCCTAGATGCGCAAAAGGCATTCAATAATTTAAATTGGCAATTTATGATATATCAAATTTAAAAATTGAATTTTGACACTAATATAGAAAAAACATTACAAAAAATATATTCAAATCAAAAAGTGAGTGTACTGGTAAATGGAGACCGCACGGAAGATTTTGAAATTGTGAAAGGAGTGAGACAAGGGTGTGCACTATCGCCTTTGCTATTTATCTTGTCTTTAGAAGTGTTACTAGCTGCAACGAGACAAAACCCAGAGATTCAAGGGATTAAAATTAGAAATGAGGAATATAAAGTTCAGGCATTTGCCAACGATTTGGCATTTATAGTTGAAGACCCAATAAACACGGGACCAATATTGTTGTAACAAATAGAAAAATTTGGGGAAATGGCAGGATTCAAAATAAATATAATACTAAGATGATAGTCAAAAATTGTACAACAAAGCAGAAAATAGAATTAGAAAATACAATAGGACTGCAGATAGTAAAGAAGGTGAAATACCTTAGAATTTGGCTATCACCCAGATGTTCATCATTAAAAGAGGATAATTATGTTAAATTGGTTAAACAAATTAGGAAAGAATTGGAACTATGGGCAAAACTGAAACTATCTTTATTAGGAAGAATAGCCGCATTGAAAATGAATACCTTACCAAAATTAATATATCTATTTCAAATTATCCCAATTAAACTAGGGAAACCCTTCTTTACAAAATTAAACAAAATGACATCTAAGTTTGTCTGGTTGGACAAGAGGCCACGTATCAAAATGAAACTATTACAAGATAACAGGAGCAGAGGCGGTCTTGGACTACCAGAGTGGGAGCTCTACTATCAACAGCGGTGCTGAATTGGGTCGAAGATTGGGTCAAACTAAGAGATAAGAGAATTTTAACACTAGAAGGACATGACCTCCAGATAGGTTGGCACGCATTTTTGTGGGAAAGCAAAAGTAATATACATACCTATTTTAATCATCATTTACTATAACTGATTACAACATGGAAGAAAATCAAAAGTAAACATTATATGGAAATACCACAGTGGCTGTCAGTCATGGAGGCCATGATCCACCCAAATAGATTAGATTTAAGGAAAATGTTAACCTATGGGGAATTATTAAATAATCAAGGAAAATCAAATCAAGAGCTAAAGGAAAATAGAATTGTAATTGATTGGTGGCCAGATTTGCAAATCCAAAATAAATATAAAAAAGATTTGAAACATTTTGGATTTGATAAAAGGCAAAACCAACTAGACAAAATTTTAATGGGACCGGAACAAAAATTTATAACCAAAATATACAAATACTTACTAGACTTTAAAATGGAAGAGGAAACAGTGAAAGGTACAATGATAGCATGGGCCCAGAATTTTGGATACAATATAGAATTAGGGGAATGGGAGAAAATTATAAATTAACTATATCCTCAGCATACAAAGAAAACATGTATAAAATACAGATGGTATTTAGCCCCAACCAGATTGGCAAGAATTTATCCCAACACAAGCCCAAAATGCTGGAAGTATAAGAAGGTTGACGGTACATTTTATCATATGTGGTGGCTATGCCCCGAGACTAGGACATTCTGGATTCAAATTAAAAACTGGCTTCAAGAGATTACTGGTTATCAGATTGAGCTCAGACTGGAAACCTTCCTTTTAGGAATTATTAAAGATAGAATACCAAAAGAAATAAAATATTTATTGTTACATATCACAACAGCCACCAGAATAGCCTTTGCACAGGTATGGAAAACTCCCAATATTCCTAAAGAAGAACTGATATTACAAAAAGTAACAGAAAGTGCCGAAATGAATATGTTAATGTTGAAATTGAAAGAAAGAGATGACTCTGATTATTACCTAATCTGGAATAAATGGTATGATTGGTTAGCAAACAGAACTAAAAAATAAGACAAGAAACTTAATTGTAAGAAGCCTTAAGAATGTAAAATGTAAATTTGTAAATTATGTAAGAATATAGGAATAACAATTATAGTTAAAGTTATTCATTAATATTAGATAAATATAAATACAATGTGTTAAGATATTTATAAAAACGTGTATAGATGTCAAGAATGTTGTTGAAACTGATGCTTTATGTTGAAAATTAGAAACTCAATAAAAACATATTAAAAAAAATGTGACAACCATTTTTCACACATAGCGACCATTGCAGCATCCCCACGGTCCCGTGATCGAAATTCAGATGCTTGCTAAGTGACTCATATTTACGATGATTGCAGTGTCCTGGGGTCATGTGATCCCCTTTTGCGACCTTCTGACAAGCAAAGCCAATGGGGAAGTCGGATTCGCTTTACAATTGTGTTATAGGTAATCTTTAACTTACAACCACAATTGAGCCCAAAATTTATGTGACTAAGCGAAACAGCTGTTAAGTGTTGTTCCATTTTATTACCTACCTTTGCCAGAGTTGTTAAATGAATCACTGCAGTTGTTAACCCGGTTTTTGAGTGAATTTGACTTCCCCATTAACTTCGCTTGTCAAAAGGGGATCATATAACTCTGGGACACTGCAGCCTCTCAGCTACTCTTAGCAAGTCTTGCAGGCAGTAGAACAGATGAAATAAATACAGACCAAACAGGTGTTCCGGTAGTATCTTTACTCCGTGCTACAAATCGAGCAAGTCCAAGAAGTAGTGACCCATTCAAAGCCAGCAGTAAGGCATCCGCCTCCCCAGCGTTTCTATATATACTAACCCCACCCCTTCTATTTCCCCTTTCTCTGCTGCACCGGTAACTACCATCCAGTAGTTAAAATCCCCTCCAGCAATCGGCGCCTCACGTCTTCAATGCCTGTCAGCTGGGAATCTGAACTGGCCCAGCGAGCCACCATAGCCTGCATATCCCGTCCCCAGGCAACACTCGCATCCCGCGGCTCTGGACACCCGACTCGTCTGGCAAGCCGCCCATTCCATTGTGATCCGACTGCATTGTCTCTACTGTTCCTAGGACGCCATGGTCTGGATGAGTAGGAAGGGCAGGAAGGCAGCTGGCAGCTTGGCAAGGACATCGGGATGTGCGGTAGGACAGCTGACAGCAGAAGGAGGGGGAAGTGCATCCCAGCTTGTTTGGTGAGCTCCAGGTCGGAGCTCGACACAGCCGTCATAAATATGAGTCAGTTTCCAAGCGTCTGAATTTTGATCATGTGACTGTGGGGGATGCTGCAATGGTCATAAGTGTGCAAAACGGTCACAAGTCACTTTTTTCAGTTGTTATAGCTTCATTAAATAATCATATTTTAACGACTCCATAATCCCTTGCGGGGTGGAGCTGAGTGTTTACTGGCCAGATGCCCTTCCTGTCACCAGTGTGGAGTTTTTTTCAGCAGATATATTCTCATTGTGCCCAGAGAGAGAAATATCTGCCTATTTCCCCTATTTCTCACAGCCTCCTGATTGTGAGACAAGAGCTCCACCTCTAGGCCACTCGTTATAGCTTCATTAAATGAACAGTTTTAAATCAAGGACTCCCTGCAGCAATTCACTTAACAACTGTCTCACCAGCCAAAATGTTGGAGTCACTTGTGCGCGTAAGTCGAGAGCTGCCCGTAACGTAGCCTCTTCCCCTTCTGCTTCTCTCCTTGCAGTGTGTCCAGAAACAGGCTGAGCGAGCAGCTCGTGCTCGAGAACGGGAACGCCGGCGCAAAGAATTGGAAGCCGAGGAAGCCCGTCAGCGGGACCGTAACCGCCAAGCTGAGCGGGACAAGCGGCGGGAACACAGCAGAGAGCGAGAACGCGAGCACCCCAATGCCACCAGTGGTGGTGGGGCCAGTCGAGCAGGTGAATGTGGCGGCCGGGGAGACCGTGAACGGCGCAAAGCCAAAAGCCGCCACAGTCGGAGTCAGAGCACGCCTGTACAGGACAGAGGGGGGCGCCGCTGAGCTATTCCCCAGCCTTCCTTTTGACCTTTAGGGGGGGGGGAGGAGTTGGTGGTGGGGGCACTTTCCCTGAATCAAGCTCCTGAGTTTTGCAGGCAAGGAGGAACAAGGAGGGGTAGAGAGTTTCTTTGCCCACTGCTGGAAGGGCCAAGAGGGGTCTGGTGTGGCTGGTGGCGGCCAAAGTGGTAGGGCTCTCCCCCCCTTCCCCTAATGGGATAAGTTTGATTCCGGACCCCTCCTGCTCCCCTCTTCTGGAGCCAGTGTCCTTCCTGTTGATTTGTATTTTATTTTGGGAAAATGTTTTTTTTATTCTTCTGATGATATAGGAAAGAGAGCATAATAAAGAGATGGTGTTAGTTTTAAAGCTGCTGTCCTGCTTCTTTTGGGGGGTGCAGAAAATGGGAAGCCCCCCGCCATTGCAGGAAAAATAGTTTGCTATCCTCTTGCAAAGATGCTTGAATCCTGCCCTGATGCATAGGGCTCTTGTGCGTTTGCCCAAAGGGGAAGGGGGAAACCCCCTCTAGCAAGTTGTAGTGGTAGAATTTGTTCCCAAGCCAGCAGGAAAGACACCAAGCTGAGAGAGCACCAAGGACCCCACAGTGCAGCCGTGATCTATAAATATTCCATAGGTACAAATGGTGTGCCTATAGAATATTTGTAGCTCACGGTTGAACTGTGGGGTCCTTGGTGCTCTCTGAGCTTGGTAGTTTTCCTGCAGATGTTTCATTACCAGACTAGGTAACATCAGCAGTGCTAAAAAAGACTGAGGTATGTGGAGTGGAGGAGGAGGAATGTGGGGTCCATGATGCTCTCTCAGCTTGGTGGGTTTCTTGGAGACGTTTCATGACTCAGTTAGGTAACATCATCAGTGCTAGAAGGGAGTGGAGTTTGTGAAGTGGAGGAGGAGGAAGGGGAGAGCAGACAGGGAGGAGGAAGAGGATTCTTCTTTGGTGCTCTCTCAGCTTGCTGGTTTTCTTGCAGACGTTTCATGACCCAATTAGGTAAAATCATCAGGGAGTGGGGTTTGGTAAACAAAATCCCAATCAAGGAACTCACAACTCACACAGTCAAACAGTTAACAACAGCCTAATCAAGGAGCCACCAAGAACACCCTCCAACACTAATAGGGCAAGCCGCTAGCATATAAACAGAGAACAAACCCCACTCCCTTCTAGCACTGATGATGTTACCTAGTTGGGTCATGAAATGTCTGCAGGAAACCAACCAAGCTCAGAAAGCACCAAGGACCCCAACTGAACGGTTCGTATTTATGCAGAAAGAACTATGTATTATATTTCATATATTTATTTAAAACATTTCTGAAGCCGCCCCTCTTCTAACCAACTCTGGGCGGCTACCAATCCAAAGTTAAAACAACCTATAAAATCATACTAAAACTGTAAAACGAAACGGATCAAAAAAAAATTCTTCTGCTTTCCTGTTGAGATCTGAGAACCAACCCACCAAATGAGAGCCATCTACCTTCATCAGGCCTTTTAACTGTCAAAATAGCTCCACCAGCTGAATGTCTCTGGAGATTCTCCATCATCCAAGTCATAGTTGTCCCAAAGGTGGGGTTTTTTTTTCAAGCGGCAACTGGACTTCCTGGTTTTTCCTTGAAGACATTTCACTTCTCATCCAAGAAGCTTCTTCGGCTCTGACTAGATGGGGAGTGGAAGGTTTGTCTGCAAGGAATAAAAATCTTTCCATTCCCCACCATCCAGTCAGAGCCGAAGAAGCTTCTTGGATCAGAAGCAAAAAGAAAAACCAGAAAGTCAAGCTGCCTCTTGAAAAAAGCATCTTTGGGACTTCCACTGGCTAATTTGGCTTTCACAAATTCCAGAGTTTAGTTTGGTCACCCAAATACGGAGCACAGAGTGCAGAATTCAGCAGACAAACTATACCTGCCCATCATACTATTCTCTTTTCAGCGAAACCAACATTAAGCAAAGCAGAAGAAATAAGACTTTCGAGATCAAATCTGGGTCATTCATTGGAACCAGAGGTTTAGTCTTCTGAGCTTTCGGATCCATCCTGGCGCCCATCCTCGGGGAACTTCTCTAGCAGAGTGTGTGCTTTGGACTATTCTGTTTTGCAGCTACTAAGATTGTTGGCCAAGCAGGGACAAAAACAGCCAGGGAAATAATTGAAGTGTGGGAAACAGCCCTTTGTCAACCAACTGGCTTATTTATTACCTTTATTGTCAGAGTACGTGTACAATGAGATTGGCTGAGCCTCCCTTCGTGCACCCCCACACACACAACTCATAGTGAGGACAGAAGTCCCTATCCCAGACCCAATCTTATTACACTATGTGACCTTGTTGCACAATGCGCTGGCCCAACTATCAAGTACTTAGGATCCACAATAAACAGCCATCAACACCCAATCAGCAACTAAAAACACCCCACACAACAGGCACCATATACAGGGTGTCTGGCTTACAATAGTTTAGTGACTTCAAAGTTACAACGGTGCTGAAAAATGTGACTTAACTATTGTTTTTCACAGTTAAGACCTTTGTAGCCTCCCCATGTTCATGTGATCAAAATTCAGATGCTTGGCAACTGGTTCATACTTATGACTATTGTTGTGTCCCAAGGTTATGCGATCCCCTTTTGCGACCTGACAAGCAAAGTTAACGGGAAGGCCGGATTCACTTAACAGCTGGGTTACTAACTTATCAATGGCAGTGATTCACTTTAACAACCGTGGCCAGAAAGGTCGTAAAATGGGGCAAAACTCAATTTTAACAACAGAAATGTTGGGCTCAATTGTCGTAAGTCAAGGTCTACCTGTATTCGCCTTCCTTCATGAGACTTGAGAATTCACCTGCAAAAGAAATTAAAAGGCCAGAAAAAATATCTGAAAAGGGAAATTTAAAATCAGGACTCTTAAAATTAGGCCACGGCATTAATAAAGACCTTGTAGTGATGGAAAAATAGGCTTCAAAAGCCTTAGCTGGAAAACTGGCTTGATGTCTTAAGACTGTTTAGAAACTTACATAAACATGATTATCTTTAATGTTCCAATAAGATCCAAATATAGCTGAATGTCTTAATGCAAGGGTTAAACTGAAAAGATTTGGGCTGGGCTTGGAATTAGCTTGCAAACTTTTTTTTTTTTTCTCCAAGTGAATCCTTTTTCCTTTTTGCACTTCTATTTTCTCCCTTCTTAAAGAGCTTTTTGGGGGAGCATCCGTGTCTCTTTTTCCTTTCTGTTTTCCTGCTCTGCTCTTGCAAAGGATCGAGAGGCGTGATTGATGCACATGACACAGCTTTCCAGCTAGGATTTGCACACGCACAATCTGGCCTAACACCACAATGGCAGATGATGATTTACAGAAGGTTTCTCTCCCCCAAATGGAAATAAAAAGGCGTTCACCAGGATTTATCAGATGTGGTTGTTCCCTTCTTGGCAGATAGATGGCGTGAGTCTTCCACATAACCTGGTCAAAGGATGGAGGCAGTTAAGTTCTTAAGAAACAAAATAAATACACAAACGCAGGCCAAGGGGGCAAATTGTACAAAGAAAAAGGGCTGAGCAAGAAAGGATAATATTTCTCCTCTAAGATCCTGGTCTCTTTCATTTTCTAACCTCCCCCAACCCCACTAAGATCTTGGTTTGTTTTCCCCCCCTCCACCCTTGTTCCAAAACCACAAGATGCTCAACTGGCCCCCAAGGAACATCTGCAGCTGTGACCCTGTCCTTTTTCCTGCTTCCAGACATCTGTTTTGCTTTCGCTCCCTTGCCATGTCCTTTTTTTTTTTTCATCCTTTGCACAATCCTAGGCCCG